TGGAGTTGCATGTTGATGGTCACATATAGCCTCTTACTCTTCCTCCAATGGCTGAAATATAATAGAAACTTCTTCTCAGCTTCTCATAAGTTGTTAGCCTTAGTAAACGCGAAGATGCAGGACTGCCGTTTTCTTATATATGAGTAAGAGCTGAGTTCTCACCAAGATTTATAGTTTCTTGCTAAGTCATATTCCTTGTTTTCTGGATTGAATAATTTAACAGGATCTGGATATCTCCAACTCTTCTGTGCTATGTGATGTGGATGAGCAAACTGTTCGCAGTCTTAATGGTTGTAGGGTTGCTGATCAGATTCTTAAACTTGTTCCTAATTTCGAGGTAAACTCATGGAATGCTATGGTAGCATTTTTTTGTTAATAAACCAATGAATCCTGTAAGCCATCTCTGACATTAAATTTAAATGTAGCACTTCCGGACAACGTTACGATGCCTGAAGTACTGGGCTAAGAAGCGTGGGGTCTATTCAAATGTACGGTGGTATCTTTCTGAAATTATTGTTGACAATATGTTTACGTTCAAGCTCTTAATCTCTAATTTTTGTTTGAGCAGATTACTGGATTCCTAGGTGGTGTAAATTGGGCTCTTCTGGTTGCACGCCTGTGCCAGCTTTATCCTAATGCTATTCCTAGTATGCTGGTTTCTCGGTTTTTTAGAGTATATACACAATGGCGCTGGCCGAATCCAGTCATGCTTTGTGCAATAGAAGAGGATGAGCTTGGATTTCCTGTCTGGGACCCACGAAAAAATCATCGTGACCGTTATCATCATATGCCAATAATAACTCCTGCATACCCATGCATGAATTCTAGTTACAATGTCTCTCAAAGCACTCTTCGTGTTTTGACAGAGCAATTCCAGTTTGGTAACAAGATCTGTCAGGTTAAGGAGCAAAACACCTGGTTTTGTTTATAAACAGTTTGTTCAGGATCATGTTGCTAATATAATTTTGCATGCAGGAGATTGAGTTAAATAAACAACACTGGAGTTCCTTATTTGAGCAATATATGTTTTTCGAGGCATATAAAAACTACCTTCAGGTTGATGTACTAGCGGTAGATGCAGAAGATTTATTGGCTTGGAAGGGTTGGGTGGAATCACGGTTCAGGCAGCTGACCTTGAAGGTAGATATAGCCTTGTGCTCATGTGTTGTTCAGCAGTAAACCTGCTGTGGCTTCAGTGTGTGATTCATTTTTTATTTGTAGAGAAACAATGATTATAGGGTTCTTGTTCTCCTCTTTTTTATCCAATTATGCAGATAGAACGAGACACAAATGGGATGTTAATGTGCCATCCTCAACCAAATGAGTATGTGGACACATCCAAGCAGTTTTGGCACTGTGCCTTTTTCATGGGCTTGCAGAGGACAGAAGGAGTTGGTGACCAAGAATGTCAACAGTTTGATATACGTGGAACAGTGGATGAGTTCAGGCAAGAGGTAAACATGTATATGTTTTGGAGACCTGGGATGGATGTGTATGTTTCTCATGTTCGTAGAAGGCAGCTTCCACCTTTTGTTTTCCCAAATGGATATAGAAGGCCTCGTCAATCCAGGCACCAAAATCAACAACACAGAGAACCTGGTGAGGAAGGTGTTGGCTCTATGTCCGCCTATGCTGAGAGACATGCGAAGAGAAAGAATGACAATGAACTATTGGATACGAGGCCAGAGAAACGTGAGAAGCGTGCATCTCTTAGTCCACATAGTATAGATCTAGTTTCTCCCGACAGTAGTGCTATCACTACTGGTGGGACTCCTCAGAGTGGCATTGTTTCAGGTCCTAGAGCCGAATGCTTAGTAACTGGTGATCTTGTTTGCAACATCGGAAGTCTTCCTAATGTGGAAGTTGAGGCTGAAAAATTAATAAGTAAAAGCACGGAACTCATAAAATTTTCTCAATATGAGCACAACTCTGGTAGCAAACAAATCCTGGAAGTAGATAGTAGGACTCTAGTTCAAGGCTGCCATGACCTGTCTGTGCCTGTAGGAAAGCATGTGAGACCTCACCTTAGTGCTGTTGTAGCATGTGAAGGTGGACAAAATGAAGAAACAGGTCGTGATATGGGCTCTGAATCCGTCAATGACACTGACACACAGCTTCTTCTAAGGCGACGAAATCTGAAAGAGGATGTTGATGAAGTTGAGAGGGAATCCAGGTGGGAAGAAATTGCTGATGGTGTTTTGAGAAATGGATACTGTGGGAGAAACCTTAATAACGAGGTGAGCTTTTCCTGTTTGATGATTATTGCATAACAACTGTAACAAATTAGTCGAAAATGTCTTGAACGTACTGTACTGGGCATAGTGATCATGAGGTTTTACAGGGTCTTTTTACGGCTGCAAATTTGGATTTAGCTGTGGGACATAGAAACAAACATTCGGAAGGATTGTTTAAAATTAGCTTGTCAGAAGAACTTCAGGTTTTATCTTCTAACTCATGTCATTTAGCATAAGGTTTATTCATCTTCGTATTTTTGCGTTTCGTAGCTGTTTGAGATTTATTTTCCATGATGCCAACGATTTATACGTCTTATAGTTTGAGTGTCACACCCACTACATGACATGTTGAAGGGCGATATTGTGCTTTGTTTTGAGAATCAAGAAACATGAGACGACTAGCTTAAATTAGAATGTTGTGCTAGTTGATATCTAAAACATGTCTACCTTTTGCTACTTAAGTGATCAATTTATGCTCTTTCTTTTCCTAGAATGTCCCTATCTGCTGCAAAATTTCGTTGAAATATTTTATTTTCTCTCGTTTTTGCATACATCCTAGCCAGTGCAC